TAGTTTTCCAGGTTTCCGCGCCATACAGTAGAACTGTCTTGACATTTGTATTGAAAATTCTGACTTTGGTGTTGGTTGCTAATTGTTTTGAGTTCCAGATATTCTTCAGTTGTAGATATGCTGCTCTTGCTTTGCCGATCCGTGCCTTCACATCTGCATCAGATCCACCGTGTTCATCGATGATACTGCCCAAATATGTAAAGGTTTTTACATCTTCCAAAGCTTCTCCGTCAATTGTGATTGGATTGGTACATGTTGTGTTGTATCGAAGAATCTTGCTTTTCCCTTTGTGTATATTGAGACCTATTGCTGCTGAGGCTGCAGCTACACTGGTTGTCTTCTCCTGCATTTGTTGTTGTGTGTGCGATTGAAGAGCCAGATCATCTGCAAAGTCTAGATCATCCAATTGCATCCTAGATGTCCACTGTATCCCGTGCTTCCCTTCAGATGTTGATGTCTTCATGATCCAGTCGATCACCAGGAGAAAGAGAATGGGTGAGAGTAAGCAACCTTGCCTGAAACCAGTCTTTACTTCGAACGACTTTGTCAACTGTCCTCCATGAACGATTTGGCAGTTTAATCCATCGTAGGAATTCTGTATGATATTGACTATCTTCTGAGGCACGCCGTAGTGTCGAAGAAGCTTCCATAGTGTTGTTCTGTCCACGCTATCAAATACTTTTTCGTAGTCGATGAAGTTGATATAGAGTGATGAATTCCATTCAATTGATTGTTCCACAATGATCCGTAGAGTTGCGATTTGGTCTGTGCACGATCTATCCTTACGGAATCCTGCCTGTTGGTCTCGAAGTTGGGCGTCTACGGAGTCCTTCATCCTGTTTAACAATACCCTGTTGAAGACTTTTCCTGGTATTGAAAGAAGAGTGATTCCCCTGTAGTTGTCACAGTTGCTGAGATCGCCTTTCTTTGGTACTCTCACGATATGAGTTATCGAGTTGAATTTTTTCACATACTTAAATTACCTAGGGAATCATTATAAACAAGGAAGTCTAGTGTCAACTAATTAAAATCTTGTAGAAAAGAAATCAAGTATTGTCATGAACATAAATGAGATAAGTCCATTTCACAAAAATCAATTGTTCCCTATTTTTACCTTGTAGCAAATGCGATAAGCTTTACTGCTACAAAAAACTGTTCACTATTTTTTAATGACAATAATAAGAGATAATTCATCTGTTTTTCAAGGACTGAATCTAGAAATAATTGAGCAATTAATTAAATAGATTATTACAAAAAGTATGGTACATTAAGTGTAATCAGACTGATTATATGTAATATTTAACTTTTCTAATTTCTCCTTATTTTAAAAGATACAGAAACGTGGACAAAAAATGTTCCTTTCTAGTAAATGCTTACCAAGTCATACAGGTCGAAGTTCAAATGATTGATGTGAAAGAATAACAAGTTTAATGACAAAGGTATTATTAAGTAAAAAATAACAATATGTAAATCAAGGATAAAAAATGAAGTGAGTTTGTTAGTTTATAAGTGTCAAATGACTAGTGTGTAATCTATACACCTGAGTCAGGTTCCAGGTCAATTAAAAGTGAGAAAATAATGGTTGGAATAAATATGACCATTAAAGTTTGAAAAATATAATGATCTAAATAATCATCATATCAAATATTTAACTAGCGATTGTGTAACACATCAAATGATTTGAGCAAAAAGTGACAGTAATAGTAATAGTAAAATAAAATAAAATAAATAAATGTATGTAGTAAGGATGTATTGGATCATATAATCAGGATGATCGTTGACTTATTGAACTCGAGTTAAGAAGAAGTATGAAAAGAATTGGAATCCCCATCTTCTGGATATAGATGCTCGATAGTTTTTTATTAGATGAATTACTATTTCAACAACGGTATACTACAAACCACCAATCATAATACTAACGTCATACGGCTGCATTAGTCAGTGACTATCTGATCTCAGTGAATAAAGCACTGGACTTTGAAACAATAAGTGCTGAGTTTAAATCTAAATGTGAGCATCAACACTGCGATGGTGGGACATACAACTAACGAACCACAGATAAGACGAAACATGAGTTCTGGATTCTACTGTTAGTCACAGTACATCCGTTCTATTGCTCCGACCATTTAAAATCTCCAGATATGGACTGATTTCGGTGGATTATTCCTACAGAAAAGTGTTGAAAATAGCTGGTATATGTTTGCTTCATGGTCCATTTAAATTAGACGGGCTGATCATACCAAAATGATATGATAACCAAGAATGATGGATCATATTCACAGGGCAAATCAATCGATTACCAGCTTGTTTATTTTAATACTCATTATACTCACAGTGATTTCTAATAATGTAAAATTTCACTTACACAACAGTCACATTAATTATATTTAATTCTACTCATTGATTGTTCGGTTTTCTTATAATCACAGTTGTAACTAAATTTTTTGTAAGCAGTCATCCTTTAGCCATCATTGCTACATGAATTGATTGATTCGCTAAATTTCTCACTAAATCATTAATGATCAAATATTCTGTTGACAATTATCAAAAGTTGGAGTTATTTATTCGTTTAAAAATAAAAAAACCTACAGTTGTTTTCAAATGAAGAGAAGTGACTTTTGAACAAGAGGTAAGATAAATTTTAACAGAGAACATTTCTTTATATATATATGTATTACTGATTTTTCAGTGATTTAGTTCGAAGCCTTTTCTCTTAGGTTTACGTCACTTCAAACTTAAGTAATTCATCTCATGTGCTGTGTGAATCTACGGTTAATTTAGTACATAATGTCTATTGTAATGTATTGAATAACTAATTTCTAATAGTAATAATCAATAATAAAGGTTAATACTATTAATGACAACTAAATAGATTTATAAAATAAAGACTATTGTATTCTGACTCAATAACTGCCTTGTAATCGTACTGACCAGTCGCAAGATAAAAATATAGCAAGTTCCGACCACCTATATACAGTCATAAACATATAATAGTGAGAAATATCGTTCTAGTACAAAACAGCTGTCAATTTCTATCTTTAGCCTAAAATAAACTAGAAAACGATTCAACATCTGTTGTAAAAAAGTGAGATTTCATTATGAATCCGAAGTGAAACTGCTATTTTATTTGAGAATCATTTAGGTTGCACAGTTTAAAGTAGATTAATGGATACTGAGAAATTAACATTATTTCATTTTATTCGTCTGTGAGACACAAGCACCAAAGAGAGATTTCCTGATGGAAAATCAACAGTCAAATTATTTAATCACACTCTATTTTTAAATGAATACATATCAGTCAAGACGTTGTTGCAATGGAAAATCAATAAATTTCATAATAAATCAAATGCTCCATCTGAGTGACAATGATATGTCGGTTATTAGATTTACTTAGTCCGGTTGTGTTCTGTACGGCTGAACTATGCGACTTGGATATCAAGCATCCAATACCGAATACTTTGATGTTATGCACACTAAATGAATCGCTAGTATAAACGACACTATCCTGGTGGATATAATAGATTTATTAAAGCATAGAAGTTGATTAAAGCTAGATAGATGAGTTGGTTTGAGCTAAACTTGTCTAGTTGACCTTTTATTTTTATATATAAATGCTCTTAACAAGTATATGTGTGATCAGATTGTTCGAAATGTATTGCGCTAATATATCACATAATTCTGATAAACTTCGTCTTCTCATTGCATTATCAAAAAAAATACATGATGGGTTATCGAAATGACGTTAATAATTGACAGTTCGCCTTCGGCCAGTTTATATCGTTTAAGTTAACGAGATCAGTATGAAATGTTGAATACATAATGAGATTTATTTTTGCACAATAATTACTCATTCAAGCTTAATATTGTTGCAATAAAATCCAAAAGATTTCTACACACAAACAGTTGCAGTCTATATTCAAGTGTTTATATATTCATAAAGTTTATTAAATCAGTAATTTTATATAAATCTGTTACATCCCGGCAAGAATTATGAATGGTAACTTTTGAGAACTATTTATGGACCAATACGATACGTATATTTTTACTATATAATTGTTAAGTAGCTAAACTATGCAATATTCATGTTCCTCTCATAATAAGATTTATTTTGACTCATAGACTATTATCATACAATTTACCGTTCTTTAATTGTGTCCAGTTTATTAATTACTATCTCCCACATTCACAGACACCTTTAGCTAGATCTTGTACAAATATTATTTTCTATTCTGTGGTCTGTTTGGTTTGTACATAAACCGAGTATGTTTGAAATACATGATTCATATCAAGGAGGCTGAGATTGGTGTTCTGAACAAAATCAATCAAAAACCTATGAAAAAGCTTAAAAACGACTGTATCATTTGCCGAAAGATATTTCAAGTTGTTTATATCGCTATTCGACAAAACAGAATCTTTACAAAATATACTTTTTATCACATTATTATACGAGTGCTATTTAATGGGACGTGAACCAACCTATAACTAAATGATCAATTTACATAGGTCGCTTTACGTAAATATGGAAAAAATAAAGAACCATGATACCCGGTAAACTTATGTTCTAGTTAAGTAAATATTTTAACACAGCATGATCACAAATATGAAGTAAGTAAACAAAGAGAAATGTGTTGATGTATGTTTTAAAACTTTAGTTAGGTAACCAGTTATTGGTAATCATAAACTGAGTGGTCGGAAAAAATAGAATGTGACGGAATCATGTACAGTTATTTTTTTTAGTAAAACCTAGAAAAATCGATGTTGTTCAAGGAAAGAGATTGGTAATAATTAGCTGTTTTGTCTTTAAGCTCGGCCAATTATCGTGTGACTTACCTACCAATCGGAGTACGACATATACTAACTTACCGCTGTGTCAACCGATGATATTTGACCAGTGTGAGCAGCCTAGCGCCCTTATTGTTCCTTTGTCTTTTTAGCCCTCCCAGTTGAGTCCAGAACACCAAGACCAGCTTCCACTATGCGAGTCATTTATTTCAAACATACTTGGTTTATATACCAGCCAAACAGGCCACATCACAACATAAAATAGGAAATAACATTAGTGCAAGATCAAACCGAGAAGTGGCTGTGAACGTGGAAGACGGTAATTGATAAACTGAGTACAATTTAAAAGTAGTAAACCGTATCATAATAGTCTATGGGTCAAAATAAAGCTTATAATAAGAGGGATGTGGATATATTTAATCTAGTTACTGAATAGTTATACAATAATTTATATGGTATTAGTCCATTGGTAACTCCCATGTTACTCGTGATTTAACCTGCAGGATTGATCGGTCAATAATTAATAAGCATTATTATGTTCGTTTAGTTACTTTAGTTTAAATCAAATACTACCAATTTAGTTGCATTATTTTCATTAAAGGCAATGAGCTGTAGTGAACGACAACACAAGTGGAGACAACCAAATGTCTCTTATTACCGAAATTACAGAATCACTTGGTAAAATATGAGAACCGTACATTGAATACTTAATTTGGGAATTTCCATCATTTGTCTCCCACACTTTATGATCCTTTCAAATCCCTTTTCTATTTTCTTCAAGTCGACCCTTATAGGCTTTTGCTACCAAGTTTTCCACTTCCAATTGGTGTTACATACTACTTATGTCGACATATATGAGTAGCATAGACCACAGAGCTACCTCAATAATCCCATTTTACCTATGTACTGCAACCTAATTCATTGTTATTTCTCCTAATTATTATTTATTTATTTGCGTCCATAAGAATTTATTATTTATCAGGACTATAAATTCCAACTATATTAACTTATAAAACATTGTTTTATTGATTAAAGTAAACTGGATAAAGTATCAAGATAGAACAAATGATTGATCAACTGAAATTGTAGAAAACTCCACCACTACATACACACAAACACAGTAAATTATGGAAGACGTTAAGGTAATATTTAAAAAAAAAGCAAAAATACCATGTGGAAGAATACAGTACATTAAAACAAAATGCAACAGGCTGAGAAACTTTCAAAAAAAAAGAAAAACCAAGCAAAACCTTAAAAATAAAGGAATACGTGTATATATTTTAAGAAAACAACGTTCAAATATAACCCTTTGGAGGTATTTATGAGAATGCAACCACTGAAAACAACAACAGTAGTAGTGATACAAACTAATGGTCTCTAATGTTTACTTATACCCAGTTTATTCTATGTATAGAAGAAAGAGGTGAAGAATAGCAAACTACCAAAATAGTGTCATAATATTTAAAAGTAAATCAGAATAGACAAAAAAGCTGTAAGAAATAAGGATAGAATAATAAAAATGATTAATAAACAATGGAAAAAAATAGTAGTTCATCAAAGTCAGTTTGATGTCCATAAAAAACCATTTTATTTGAAAGGGGAAAGTCGCAAAAATTACTTTGAGAAACAGCTGGATCAAAGTTTTTATTCATTAATTATTCACAAAAAATAAATCTTCGAAAATTATCATTGTTAATATTTTGTTTGGTAATATAAATTATATTTAAACTGACTGTCCACCTGTATACTGTCCTCGTCTTCGACGGAATAATCTACGACGACGACATAGGAAACGTAAACCGGCAAGTAAAATGACAGCTGCTAATATTGTAAGTACAACGGAAATAATGGATATTATTAACAGATCGGGAACTGGTTGTTCAGTTTTCAACTCCCTGTAATTAAAAAAAACATAAAAGAAGATTGACAATCGAATTAGTCACAGCTAACAATCAGTAAACATAAAGATAATGTATTTAAGTGGTTGAAAAGATGATTAACTGTAAAAATACATTATCTACTTTATTGTCCACAGTCTTAACATAATAAGTCAGTTTTAATGAACCCTTTACTTACTGGAAAATGTTTCAACAGAACTAATCAAATAACCAAGAAATGGAAATAACTATTTACAATTTAGAACTGTCGTCATTCATTACATCAGTAAAGCCGTTAATATACAGTTAGTTTGGTATTGTAATAGCTAGACAAGGTGACCTGATATAATATTAACTTATAATGAATTTTAAGCTAGGACTAAAACGTATTCAACTGCTTGTTTATTTTCAGTAGTCAATCAACCAGAATCAAATCAAAAACAATCTACAAACTTTATAAACAAGGATCGATGGTGGCTAGCAGTGGAATCCAATAAGCGCGTTTCGTCCTATTCCGTAATCGTCAGCTGGATGTACCTGCATACCAGAGTTCATGTTCACTCCGAGACTCAAACCCACTACTGTTCACTTCAAATGCCATCACGTTATCCACTTAGCTAGTGAGTCCTAATAGCCACTAGCTAGTGTAATGAAGTAAGTTTTAATCCATTCAAACAACAAATACATGAGTGAATTAAATCTACAAACTGATCAACCCTTTAAACAATGGATTAGAAAAACAAACTAAGAAATTAACGAAAATGAAATCGAACAATAAATAATGACTTCACTTATACGTTATTTCCTATAACATTGTGTTCACTTGTAAGGATATGTACTATCCACTTGTTGTCATTCAGGACTATAATTGATCAATCTCTGTTGACACTCTGAGCGTATGATACAATATTACCATCATGTAACAAGTCTAGAATACTTGGATTTAACTGCCAGCAACGATCTAAATATGCTACAAACTGACTGTATTTGTTAGTGTATAACTAAAAGATTTTGAAATAGATGTTATCGAAAGCTGGATTCACTCAAAGAATCAGCAACTCATTATCTTGCATCAGTTTTAAAAAGTACAAAAATTAAGAAAGAAAATAAAGCACACCGAATTCCAAACTGTGTGTTAGTTGTAAGGTGCTTTCTTCTGAGTCAGTGAATTGTTTACGTTGAATGTACAAAAAAGGATATACCGCTAAAAATCTTTGAATTGGAGTGAATTATTTTTTCTTGTGCTGCCTAGTTTTCATTTTTCATACAGACGGTGTTAGTACAACCAACCTGAATTAAACAATCGATGTACTTATAATAATGGTTTGTCACGATAAAGGCAACAACAAAATGTACTTGTACACACTGTTAAGGCTTCATTTCATGAGTCAGTCAGTCAGTCAGTAACAACGTGGAACTTCGTACGTACATACATCAGTTCGAGTTGCCATACCACATTAGTCATTTCATGAATGACACGAGTTTCTTCTGTTCAATTTGAGAAAATTTTGATAGCTTTGGACGAATAGTATAGATAATCTAGAAATCAACATGTGGATCAATGGAGTAATTATAATGGATTGAATGTTCAAGTACAGAACTCCAAACCTGTTTCTTCTTACTTTACACATAGTTGGTATTTATAAAACAATCAGTAGCCCCTCTGAAAGCAATTGATTCATTTCAATTTAAAATAAGCTATTGGAATTCTTTTTGGTAAGTTTATCTACTGAAACGTTTTATACTTGTTTCGATGATAGAGTTACGAACTAAAAAATAGTTCTCTCACAACTATGAAATGATTCACCAAAATATTTCTAAATCACAAAATGTGAAGAATTAAAGCTAGAGGATATAAGTATTTGAGAAACTTATGCACAAATATAGGAACAAGAATCAAATCAATAAGAGACAAAACCAAGACAAAAAAGTAAACAATGACAAATTTAAGGTCAATAAGAACCAATCAACATCGAGGTGCACAGAACAAGCTGTGAAACGCATGTGGAGAAATTCGAACACTTCACTTCTATCTGAAGTTTGTGCTGATGATGTCGTTCAGAAGAACGATGAAAGCTCCACGACCAAACCATCCAGCTCAGAGAACAAAACTCCATCAGGATATAAGTATTGCAATTATATAAATATGTTATGCAATGACATTTGAGGAAATTTCGGTATTTATTCTAAGGCTTCATAGTAAACAGAGGCTTCAGTGTATTGTGAAACATTTTACATTAGTTGATAACATAAGATGATTAAATCTGAATTAGAGACGAGATATGTAGGTAATTGGGTGAGGGAAATGAGACCTAATTAGTCCGGTTTATAAAGTAGAGTTACTTTCTAATTATTTTTGAATACCAAGATGTGTAAGAGACATTTTACAACCGAATCTCTGCCTAACCCTTAAGTTCGAATACTATTTAAAACAAAAGCTGCAGTATATGAGTTTCTGTCCATAAAATAACATCGGTGCTAATATAACAAAACTAAAGGTTATAAAAACAACAAAGTTTTTCATATCACGACGTTTCTATTTTCTGTGTAAGTCCAACAATGGAGAACGTAGCGGAAATATAAATCAACCCAAGATGTCTTATAACATCAACAGCTGATTGTAGTTTATATAATGGTACTAAACCAAACAAAGAAAATGGATAATACTGACAGGATATAAATATTGTCACAACCCAAAGATTAAAATATCAGAAAACAATATACTAAATACAAAGAATATAACGACAGCCAGGGGTCAGCTTGGATAAATGTTTTCTAAATCTTATCAGGAGAAAGAATACACACTTGTCCAATCTATAAACGGCCATGTCTGAATAAAACTTGATTTCCTCGAGATTTTGTTCACAAACTCTCCACAAAAGTCGGATGATTGTGGAAACTGAAGTTTTGGACACTGCATCGTTTAACATGATTCCACAGTACTTATTATCATAGAACTTCTGTTCTACCTCATAAACTGATATAATTAGAGATCGATGACCGTCAGATTAGAATACCTTCGCCTCTGAGGCTTTACTAGATATTTTAACTACTTTTAATGGTATTTATAGATCAACAAAGACCTCTGAAATAGACCTGTCAGGTTTTAAAGCTCCCTGTTGTTTTAAGTTACTCTACTAGATCGTACTATCATCAACAAACCGAAATAAATCAAACTATAAAAATAAGTATATTGATCTATGTAATTACCTATTTTACTCATTACAATTAAACTAGGGATTAATGAACTCATTTTATGCTGTCTCTGCCAGTATGGAACATCCCACTTATTTAATGATCCGGTTAAATACAAATATTATTTCAAAAACACACAGCATCTAATCATAATATTACATTGGTGTCTTCTTTTAATAAATTAATTATTATTTTCACACTTTCAAATACATATTGGCAATAATTATGGGGAACTACTGTACAGAACATAAAGAATACGGAATTTTACAGTCAGTCAGTCAGTCATATGTGACATGGAACTTGGAACAAATATACGTCGGTTCAAGTTGTCACACAAAATCAGCACAGTGATGAGATGAAATTATCATACCAAATTTGACAGCAATAAAAGTAGTAACAAAATAAAGGTAGAAGAGAAGTTTAGGTGTAGAAAGAAGAAAGAAAAGTATAAGAAAACTTCGGAACTCATGACAAAACTTTAAAAATGCTCAAAATATCTTATATTAAATCCACAGGATCTGTATTTTTAAGTAACTAATATTTACTACTAAAATAGATTTTCTTCCAGTTGATACTAAGATAGGAATAATGACAGTATAACAAGAAAAAGAGTAGTGAACAGTTAAACAGCGAAAACTGGAACGATCGTCCAACTGTCACCATCATCATGCTTCATCAAATGAACAAATCATCAAGAAAGTGTTAATTTAAATAAAATCACACTTCCCTTTCACATTTATGAAAACAAAAATTTGAAATTCCTATAAAATGAAATAGAAATACATAAACCATATCACACTACATAACATCTAATCTATGCATTTATTTTCAAATTAAATAAATTATCAAGAAAATGTCATTACTCTTGTCTTACCTACGTTTACCAAATGATGACAGTAAACAGAATAGTCAATCTTAATTGATTTACAGCACTGTGCATGACTATCAGGTGTGTACTTTTGAATGCTAAAAGTCATATGTCAGTTTGTTAAACTTTACAAATTATGTTTACATTTAACCTTAATAGATATTCTTATTTATGGAAAAAGGTATATATTCAGTAAACAAAGTAAAGATACAACGAAAACTGCATTTAACTTAATGAATATCATGAAATAAAGAATGCTCATTTTTAGTTAATGAATTTCAGCATTTCAGTTTGCGTAGAAAACGCTCATCGATAGCAATATTTTTTTTAAAAAAGGACATAAATGGATAGACGATTGATGGTGGCAAACAGAAAACTCTGCTGAACTTCCACACATAGATCGCATAAATTTGGTTAGATGTATTAAGAAAATGAAACCACATCAATGAAAGATTAAAAGTTAGTGTAGATTGCAACATAAAACTCAATATAATTTTTACTTACAGAGAAAAAGAAATGACTAATCAGCCATAGTGTGGTGTAGTCTACTTATGTTGACAAATATAAGTGATTTCCGCTCCCAGCTGAAATCTCGTTTACTACAATAGAACAAAAGTATTACCAAATTAGTTTTCTAATATTCTCATCCACTACTATCAATGAGTTATTCTTGAAACCCCCCACCTTGAGTTGACTACTGCATAAGTCAAGGTATTATACAAGAACTTCATAAATTAATATTCTATTCTATTGCACGCAAGGTGATGAGATCATATGTGACATGGAAAGTAGACTCACAGATGAAGTCATATTTGTGAAAAAATAAAGGTATTGGGGATATCCAATGTATACCTCGAAAAAGGGACGCTGAAAACGCTGGGAATAGGAGAATCTCAGTAACGTCTAGCAAATGAAGAAACACGTGACACACTTCTCATTTGATGATTACCTATCC